CTCTCTCTCTCTCTCTCTCCCTCTCCCTCTCTCTCTCCCTCTCCCTCTCTCTCTCTCTCTTCCTTGCACCAGGGTCCTCACCCTTCAGAGGCTGTGCGGTGGGTGACACAGTGCCTAGGTGAGGAGACACAGCCAGGCTGTGACATCGCACTGTGATGTCTCCCCAGTCAATGTGATAACCCAGACAGCTACTAAGTGACCAGCCAGCCAGTTGTGGCCTCATGGGAACCCTGGACAAGGGGTGACTTAGGACAGACGACAGCGTGCAGGTTTATCATGCTATTCACAACTGTGTGCAAGTTAAAGCTTCTGAATTGTTTCTTTCTGGAATTTTCTATTTAGTCTTTTCCCACCACGGGTGGCTGAAATGACAGAAATCAAACCCGCATGTAGGAAGGAGCGATCGTACTCCTGTCTTTGTTTTCTGTCTACACACACGCACGCACACGCACGCACACGCACGCACACGCACGCACACGCACGCACACACACTCAGGTTTTTGAATGAACCTGTGAAGGAACACGGGACAGAGGTGAACCTGCCGGCCAGGGGTCTGCAGAGGCTCTCTGGCCTGCCCCTGCCCTTTGCCCTTCACGGAGGGACTGAAGAGGACGAGATTTGACAGCAGCGAGTCCTGTTAGAAAGAGCAGCCCCCCCAGGGCTGGGAGCTGTGCCCGCAGAGCCCCCGAGGGCGAGGTTGACCTGCCCTGTGGTGCTGGGAGCAGGAGAGGATCCTTCTAGAAGGCGAATCCTTGTCCTTCTCCAAGGTCCTGCAAAAGCAGTTCTGTGTTCCTGGGTCCAGCCTGGTGGCCCCCTAGAGCCCAGCCCGAGTCAGCCCTACGTCTCCAGGACAGACCCCGCGTCCCCTCCAGCGCCGTCAGAGGAGCAGGCTGGGGCAGGGGGACACCCTCCACCCTGCTGAGGGTCCAGCCGCACAGCTGGGGCAGCAGAGGCAGAAGGGCCAGGCACAGCCCGCAGGACGCTCTCAGGTGACCAGGTGGGGTTTCTAACGTGGATCTTAAGACGCAGCTCTGAAGTGGCTGCGGTGCCCTGGGCAGCTGGACAGGAGGTCATGACATCAGGGCTGGCAGAGGCCAGGGACGCACCTTCCAGGTGTTGCCTCCCTTCATCCTCAATCCTGGACCTTTGATTGTCCCCCCTCGGCCGTAAGGAAGAGGCACGGGGGCTGCCCCGACCCTCACCAGGACCTGATTGTGCCCTGAGCCTGTTGTCCACCTGGAAACCCAGCAGGAGGACAGGGCCGCCCGGCTTTGCCCAGAGAGCGGGAAATCCCCCTCCCAGCCTCTGCAGAGACCCAGGTTTCCCTGAGGGTCCATTACACATGTCCCTGGCCAGTGCTTTCATGGGCATGGACCCAGGTCACAGTTCCTGTCCCGAACTTCCAAGACTGCACCTGGGAGCCCTGTGGCCGACCCCGAGCCCGGGCGCTCCTTGGCAGCTCAAGACCCCCGCCCCCCGCCCCCCAGGGGTTGGAAGGAGCCCTGCCCAGGCGCCTGCCCTTGAGGCCCAGTGAGGATCTCTGCAAAGGACTCTCGGGACTTCCAGCCACACCCAGGAATTCTTACCATCCTCCCCGCAGGGCAGGGCGGGGAGAACAAAAGGTCCCTTAGGGACAAAAAGGGACCTGTTTCAGGAGGGTGGGTTGGAGCCGGCAAAGAAGGAGACGGAGAGGGGCCGGGGGACCCCTGGGTGAGCGGCTGGCAGCCCAAGTGCAGGGGAGGGGTGGCGAGGGGTGCGGGGAGGCCTGGCCTCCCTCCAGCCTCCCATCTTTGGTCCAAGTCCTCAGGGCACCGGGCTCTACTGCCCCTTCCTCCTTGTCCCCAGCTCCCTCCAGTGTCCCCTTCCCCTTCCCCCTAAATCTCCCATCAGCCCCGCCCCACCTCCTGGAGGTCTTCCCCTGGTCAGCGCCCCCCCAGCCTCCGCCTGGATCCCCACCCCCACCCCACCCCCCCCACCCCCCGGGCCCAGGGAGGGCCCAGCTCACCCGGTACTCCTTCCACTAGATGTCTTAGCTGTCCCCAGGCCCCATCTCCTGGGTCCCCACACCACCCATCCTAAGCCCATGGACAGGACAGCCCAGTGGTCCCCCGCCTGACTCCTCCTCTCCACCCCCGAAGGTCAGCGGGCGTCCTTCCAGCCTGGACCTGGCCTGGTCTCATCTGCAGCAGGAGCCTCAGGCCCCGGGCTCCACTCCCCTGTCACCTCCAGCCACTCTCCTCTCTGCCCCAACACAGGCGGTGACCAGAGTCTCTGCCCGCTTCCCGTGCGTCTCCGTGACGGACACCAGGCGGCTCCCCTCTGGCTCTCACTGTGACACACGCAGCTCTGTCCCCCGCCAGGCCCCTGCCAAGCGCTTCACACGCCCTGACTCATCTCACCTGCGCACAGCTCAGGGGGTCTGCCGTCATCGTCCTGCTCCCTGATAAGGAAGCCGAGACTCACGTCACTTACAAACAGTCCCGGCATTCCTGGCCCAGCTGCACCCTGAGGCCATGGACAGGACAGCCCAGTGTCCCCAGGGCCGGTCCCTCGCGTTGTCTCCACTGCACAGACCTGCCCCCAGACCCTGGGCCCAGGCCCCGGGAGTCAGAGCCAGCCCAGAGGGGAGCCGCATCTTCCTGTTACCTGCAGTAGCACAGGGCATGGGTGGGGACCCCAGGGAGGGCAGGGCCCAGCAGAGGGGCTCCCGCAAGGTCCACCCGTCAGCCTGGCTCTGGGCCAGGGCGCAGGGGGGCTTGCTGAAGGTGCTGCTCAGATCAGCTCCAGCCCTCAGGGCCACCTCACGGCCCGGGGCATCTGGGACAGGAACCCCAGGACAAAGGGTGCAAGATCACAGGAAGTCAGGGCCCAACAGGCCTTGGCACTGGGCGGGAGAAAGCTCAGGAATGCCCCTGCGAGGGCACGGCCAAGGCCAGGAGGCTGGCCACCCCAGGGCTCAGGGCTGGGAGCCTGGCCGCGTCCCTCATTCTGCAAGGAGGACCCTGAGTCTCAGGAGGGCTGAGGACCTGCTCAGAGCACAGCGAGGCCCAGCTGCAGACCAGCATGCCCAGGCAGGACCCGAGTCCAAGCCTCTCCCTCCTGGGCCCGCCCGCAGGCGCCAACCTGCCCCTTGGGACTGGAGACCCTGCCAGCCTCTGACTTGCATGTCCCCGTCACAAGGCTTGAGGTGAGGCCCCTGGCCCCACAGGATTGATTCCAATGCTGACGCTCAGAGCCCGGGCACCTGGCTTCCAGCTAGATGGTGATGATGCGGGCGCCCGCGGGGGCTGGCACCAGCTCCCCTTCCCGTCACTGTCACCGTCCTGCCACAGCAGTTACTCCTCAGCACCCCGAGGTGTTCTAGCTCCGCTCCTCTTTCCACATGGGGAAAGCCGGCCTCTGGCCCAGCTGGACGGGGCTGGGGCTGAGCCTGAAACCAGCCGCCGCTGCCTGAGGGCCCCTGGTCTGTGGGGACTGTGGGCCGGAGCAGGACAGTGAACAGGAGCCGGGTACCTGGGCATGTGGCCCACCTGGGTGTGAACTCACAGACCCACCTTCCCTGGTCCTCTCTCTCTCTCTCACACACACACACACACACACACTTGACTCCGCATCTCCCAGCCAGCAGGGGGGCATCCTGGCTGTAGGGGAGGAAGGGGACCCTAGGGGACGGCCCTGCCCCCTCTCAGCCATCTGCTCCGTGACAAGGTGTGATAAACCCCGCTAAGGGTGGGGGAGCCAGAGCCCCAGCAGCAGCAGAGATAGAGCCCAGCCCCAGCGCCTGTGGCTACTGACCCCAAGAGTCACACTGCCAAGTGAGGGACAAATCCAGCCAGGAGCTCCCAGAGACTATCAGCACCCCATCCTCACGACCAGGTCCCGAGGGGACCCTCTCCCCCTCACCCGACAAGCCTCCTAAGGAGCATTTGTCCTGGGTGCCTCTCTAGTCTGGGTCCCTTTCCAGGGCCAGAAGGTGGCTGCCCTGTCCCACACACTGGCCCCCACTCTGGGCCCCCCGGCCAGCCTCCCACGGCCACCTCTGCCCCTCTGAGTTGAAGGCCCAGCACGCAGGGCCCAGGGAAGCCCCTCGGGCCACAGCAGCCCCCAGCTTCCCGGGAGGACTGGAAAGGAGGGTGGCCTGGCTCTGGGGACCAGCTCCTTCTCCAGCAGGAGAGCAGGGTCCACCCGTTCCCGGGGGGATTCCAAGATAGGTTGGGGGTCAGAGTTCAGGCAGACCCCTGGAGTCCGACTCAGCTGCACCTCCCAGGGACCTTCCCGCCCAGCGCCCCTGGATGACCAGCAGGGGGTGGTAGGGAGACACTGGGCTGCCCAGGGTGCCCACAGGGCAGGACGAGGGGACTCACCTGGCTGGGACATGGGGCCTTGCTGCTGTGCTCCCTCTGGTCCCGGCTGCTGCTGGGACCGTGGCCATCGCAGGCTCTGGCAGCCCAGGTAGCAGGCGGCTGCTGGGCCCGCAGAGACTGAAACCCCAGGGCCAGCCCACTTCCTGTGCAGGGGATGAGGGGCCAGGCCGGTGGGAGGCGGGGAGCTGGGGATGGTGAGAAAGCCTGAAAGTCCCGAGGCACCGGGTGATAAGATCTCCCTCCTACGCTGGGGGCGGCACACTCACACGCGTGCAATCGCACACTCCCGTAGGGGCCTCGCTGTGCACGGGAGCCCGGGGGCAGCCCTGCCCCCCCCATCTCGCCCAGGCCCCCGAGCCTCATCCTCATCCGGTCACACGACCCACCCACTGCCCCAGGCCCCACACAAACACGGCCCTCCCGGGGTCCCCACGGCTGCCCACCCCCTCTCTCAGAGACCTCCGTCGCCCCCTAGCCTCCCACGAGGCCCTCAGAGGTGACTTCGGATGGGGCCTTGGCAAGTCCTCTGATGGCCACTTACAGAACATTCTAGAACTTTCTCTTCTGCTGAAGCCAGCGTTCCTAATCCCTTTCCTTTCCTCATTTTGGGAGATGGAGGGGTGGTTCAGATCATGGATTTCTTTTAAATAATAAAAACTCTCCGTCTGCTTCATGTGCAGCGTCACCAGCCCCAGGGACCTGCAGTTCCATCCCCAGGACCTTGCTTTCCCTTCTCTCCCAATCTTCACGGCCTCACCTCCCAGGGGTTTCACAGGAAGCTGCAGCCTCTTGGAGAAGGGGAGAGGCGAGATCAGCAGGGCAGCTCTGCAGACCCTCCAGTCTGCGCAGAGGGAGGAATGGCAGAAGACCCAGAGAGAGGAGCGAGGGGCGTCCCTTCCGCAAACCCCAGAACTGGGCCGGGAGGAGGGGCATGTGCCCAGAGCCCAGGAGGAGGGCGGAGTCAGGCTGCCCAGCAGCTGGTGGCCTTGGCCTCCCTGTGCTCAGTGCCCTTGCCTGTGAGATGGAACAAGGGACAACAGTTCCTCTGGGTGTGCCAAGGGGACTGGACCAAGTGTGTGTTGAGCCCCAAACGTGGCGACACGTAGGTTTGCAGGAAAAACCCGCTATGGTGTAAATGTGCCCCAAAAGTCACACGCTGGAAACGTAGCCCCCCAATTCATATGCCAATGGCACTTTGAGGTGGACCTTTGGGATGTCATTAGGATTAGACGAGGTCATGGGGGGGGTGCCCAAGATGACACCAGTGACCTTATCAGAAGAGGAGGAGCCCTGAGCTAGCACATGTTGCAATGTCCGGCTGTCACCGGACGCTGCGCTGTGCTCCTGGACTTCCCTGCCTCCGGAACTGTCAGCCAAATCGACCTCTAGTCTCCATAAGTTACCCAGCCTGGGGTATTTGCTTCTAGCAACAGAAAATTGACTAAGAAGCTCCCCCACCCCTTTTCCTTCTCCCCCAGAAGGTTTTCCAGCTGCCGAAGAGGGTAATCAACACGGCCATCACAACATGACGCACAGCCATGATTCATGAAACACAGAATACTTCTGGAAGTTTTCTAGGAAACCAGGACGGAGGCTCTCCCAGGGAGGAAGGCCAGGTGAACAGATTGGAAGGAAGCTGTGATTCTTCGACTCTTTGGCACCCCTTGAACTAGCCAGTCCAGTGGCTTCCTCTGCACACTTTAAAACACGTGCAAAGAAAACAACACAGAAAGCCAGCCCCGGCCCCAGCACCTGTCGGCACAGCTTTGCTGGGAGAAATCCCCCCGGCCTGGCGGGCCAAGTCAGCCGGGACGCTGCCTCTCCATCCTCCCTCCTTCCTTCATCCGCTCAGCGAGTGCTTACTGAGCACCCAGCCCGTGTTCAAGGCCAGGCCCGGTGTGGAGGGCTGACGGAGACTCCACCAAGGCCAGAGCCGGGCCACTCCCTGCCCCTTGCCCATCGGGGACACAGCAGCTGGGTGGCCTCATCTGTGGAGGCTGCTGGGACAGGGGAGGAGAGCTGGAGAGCAGCAGCCCCTCAGCACGCCCACCCGGGCCAGGGGCTCCTGCTTCACCTGAGGCCCTGCCCAGGACCCCTCAGCGGGGACAGCAGAAGTGTTTCTCAGTGTCTGCATCCTCTACGTAAAACCCATGACCGTGGGGACAGGTAGAAAGGCAGAGAGTGGAATGAGGGAGAGGGCAGGAGGGTGCCCCTATGTCCCAGAGTGCCCTTCCCCCTGGTGGCCCCCAGACTCCCTTCCCAGCCTCCCTTGTGGTGAGGTGGGGCCGCGGACAGAGTCTGGCCAATGGAGGAAGGGATTCATTCAACTTCCAGGCCTAGGAAGACCCACCTGCGGCTCTGTCCTTCCCTCCACGTCCCCACCCCCAGCCAGCTGAGGACCAGGAAGCCCTGGGGTGGCGGGGACCTGAGGACAGACCCTCACCAGCCCCCGCAGGACATCCACCTGGACCGTAGGAGTGACAGAGGCGTCTTCGTCCTGGCCTCTGGGCCGGGAGGCTCCTGTTCTGGGCAGATAGTGGCTTCGTCCGGACTTGCGCAACCGCCCCAGGGCCCGAGCTGGGGGTAGAGCAGGTGAGGAGGGGGCTGCAGGATGCCACCCTCACCTCTCCCCAGCCAGGACCCCAGGGCCCGCTCCTGGCCTCCCGTTTCCGCTCCCAGACCCCAAACTGACCACTCGGCGGCCAGAGCTGTCTTTCCCAAACCAGACCATCTCGTGGCCCTCGCAGCCCCTAGCACCTTGCAGCTGTCCCCAGCCCACTGTCCCCACAAACCCAGACTCAGCCTGGCCTCGGGGTCCCGCAGGGCCCGTCCTGCCTCCACGGCGACTCGGGCCACTCCTTCCTGCTCGGCCGCTCCTCCAGGCACGTCCAGAGATTGGACCGCCTGCCCCCTTCTCCCCGTCCCCCAGCAAGGGCTCCTTCCCTCCAGAGGCTGTGGGGCCAGGGGAGACCCCGGGTCTGTCCCAGAGAGCGTGCGGTTCTCTCTGAGGCACCCTGAGGAGGAGTCCAGAAGCTTCTCTGACGGCGGAGACCTGCAGAGCCCACCCAGGCCTGCCCAGACCAGTGTCTCAGGACCACTGGACGCGCTTCCTCCCAGGCCTGTCCCCTGCCCAGTGCCCAAACCTGTGTCCCTGGCACCGCTTCTCGGTGCCCTATGCACCCCGCCCCTCACAGAGCCCTGCTGCTACCCAAGTGCCCGCACCTTCCGCCCTACAGAGGAGCCCCAGCTCAGCGCACCGCACCCGGCCCCTACCCGAGGACCCCCCTGCCACAGGGCTGTGTACCCGGCTCCCCCGTCCACAGTGTCCCCTCCTGACTATGACTTTTCCCCTTGCCCATCCGGGGCCGCCTTGTTTGGAGACAGAGCCAGGCTGCACCCTGCCGGGCCCTGGCATCTACCGAAAGTCCCCCCATGTCCTGGCGCTTGGCTTTGGTCCCAGGCTGCTCTTCACTCCAACTCCATGGAGAGGTGCAGGGTCCGCAGGGCAGGCTCCAGGTGCCTCCCCCGGTGAGCCCCTCCCCCCTCTGCATCCGTGCCCACCCCAGGCCCACACTGTCCCCTCGTCCTCACTGACCTGGGTCAACAGACCCCTCAAACCGCCTCCCCACCCCCTTCCACCCTACAGCAGCATCTCAGTTGGGTTCGATTCAGGGGTAAGTGTCAAGAAAACAGTGGGATAAAATAGGAGAGGACTTTATTTCTGTTTCACAGGAAAGAAGTCCGGAGGCAAGCAGTCTGGGCTGCCAGGCGGCTTCTCATGTCAGGATCCTGAGCTAAAGCTGTCCAGCTACTGGGGCACCCTCAGTATCTCTCTCCTACCTCCTCAAAGTCCAAGGGGGCTGTTCAAGCGCCACCCATCACATCATTATTCCTGCAGCTGGAAGGTGGAGGAAGGAGGGAAGAAGGGCATGCCTCTGTCTGTCCAGGAGCTTCCCTGAAGTTGTCCTAGCTACTTTTAACATCCCTTCGGCTACAACTGAGTCACGTGACCAAGCTCCTGCCAAAGGAGGCTGGGAGAAGTGCTTTGCTATAAATAGAGGACATGGGGCGGGGAGAACAGGTTTGGGACTCCTTTACCCTCTCTGCCACCGTCCATCCTCTGCCATCATGAAGACGCCAGCATGTTCTGGGCCAGCCTTCCCTCTGGCCTCTCCGCCTCGTGCAGGAACAAGGCATGTCACCCACCTAGGTGACAGCACCACACACCTCCAGTCCTGTGTCCCACTGTTCCCTCCTGGACACTGGGACCCACCTTCTCGAAAGTCAGCAGGTGGCTGAGTCCTCGTCTGGAGAAAGTCCCACCCCCATGGGCCAGGCCTCGCTGGTGGCGAGGATTGGAATCTTGGTCCCTGGCCAGGAGGGTGCTGTCACATGTAACTTGGCATCTGACTCCCAGCCCAGGAATGCAGGGTGCCCCTCATGTCCAACCTGGGCCACGAGGTAGAGGAAGGGACCTCACAGAGACCAGAGCAGGACAGAGAGCACAGTCTGCTGGCTAGCAGAGGGACAGGCCGCCGTAGTCCCCAAGCCAGCGGTGGCCTCCTCCGAGGCTCCTTCCTCTCCCCCACCCCCCAAAGCCATCCTCTATCATGTCCACATACCACAGAAGTCACCTCCTTGACAGTCCTCAGCTCCAAACCTGAAGACTAGTCCCCTCCCGGCCTCCAGGAGCGCCCGCCCCAGCGGCCACTGCAGGGCCTGGAGCGCCTCCGTCTCCCCGAAGCCACTTCACCTAGAGTCACCTCTGGCTCTTCCAGGATTGCTCCACGGTGACGGCTGTCCCACCCCACGGGGCTGGGGCTTCCCAGACATGGGGTCTCTCAAGGCTGCAATCAGAACAGAGCTGGTCACCTCTTGCCACCCCTCTTCTCCAGGCCCATCACCCCCCAAATACAGACCAGTCCCCCCCACCCTCTACACCCAGCAGCTTGGATTGGGGGCCTGTGCT